TGCCCCTGAGTTAGGGCAGGAGGGGCGGCCGCAACAGCTCTATTATCACTTTTCCGTCCTACCATTACAGTACTATTATAAACAAAACCCTGCAATACATTAGCAACCAAATTTGATTCAATTATCGAAGTATACTCAAAAATCAAATGAAATTCTTCTTGCTTAATTATACCAACGTAAAGTGCCCATACCAAAATTCTAGCAACAAAATCACTCGTAATAGTCCTTCAAAAAGTTCTTTGATTATAATTAATAGTTCAATAGTCTGAATTAGAATAACCCTAAAGTGATAATACTGACAATAAGAAACCTAAAATAATCATACTGACAATTATATAAACTACAGTGTGAAAGTAAACCCTAGATTGCGAGACTGATATTCGATGATTGAAAGAGAAAGGAAGAAACAACTTACCGCAAAAGCTTATTCAATGGAGGAGAGAAAGCTCAGAAGGCGCTTCAATGGAGGTTGTTGAGTACGCTACAATGGAGGAGAGGGAGCTTAATCAGCGTATAAGTGAAAAGCTTATAAATGTAAACGGAGGAACATTAATTTCAACCGTCCGATCTAAATATTATCAACAGTCTTGATTTATTCTTGTCTAAGACTTGTCTTCAGACCAATTTCTATTCTTTTCATTTCAACAAAATACGGAATATAATGTTTGTACTGGTGAATAGCCCGAGCGTTGCCCCGGATTTGTAGTTGTGCAATTGTTAATTTATAAGAGCATTTAATAGTTTGTATGTAGTATGTAACTTCAATACTATGTAGCATAATATTTTTATGTGCAATATTAAATCATAATTAACAATTAGCCTAGATGGTTATACAATAACTTTTCTTCTAAGAGGTCAAGTGTAGTATATTTCTTGGGTTGGTGTGGTTAACTAAATAAAATATTTTACAACTCTTACTCTAATAGAGAAGGGTCGTTGTTTCTCTCGATTTCCTCCTTCCTCCGCACACTATTGCAAGCCAACACAATTGACGATCTCGAATAGCCATCGCCAACACTACAATTTATCTACTGAATTTTGATAATTTTTGGGGAGTTTTCACGGGTATTAAGAAACTTAAATGGAAAATACAAGTGTATGAGAAAGTTAATAAAAGTACATTGAAATAGTAAAATTACATGGAATTTGCAAAAAAATAGAGAGAGAAAGTAATAATAGTATATGAAAAAAGTAAAATTTACTTGGGAAGATAATTTTGCACAAATATTATTGTAAATTGGAAGGTATTTTAATGTAGATAGGATGAACATTTTGGGACTAAAATTTAGCCAAAATGACCGTTCTTTTAAGGATGGAGGGAGTATTTGTTAGTATTAAAGCAGAGTAGATAGGAAAAACAAATGATGTTGTGCGAGCTGTACAAAGCAATGCAAATTCTCTGATCTAATATCAACAATGTCAAAATGATCCTAAGAGCATCCGCAATGGCTAACTACATGCGTTTGTAGCTAGCAATTGCCACATCATTATTTTCTTAGTTAAAATAAGCTACAACCTTCACAATGATTAACTATTTATTTTTGTAATTGAGAATAATAATAATAATAATAATAATAATAATAATAATAAAATAAAAATTAAAAATAAAACAAATACATACAAATATTAAACAAATCAATATAAGTGTATTGGGTGGAGCAAAACCTTATAGCTACAACCCCAATATAGAAGCTCCACAATGGTGAGCATGAAGCTCCAATTATTTATAAATTGCAAGCAAGTTCTTTTATATTACCATTGTAGATGCTTTTATTCCTTCATACTTAATAAATTGCTAGACCTGCTATGGGAGCTCCACCATTTGGAATTGCACTTAAAGAATGGTAATGATAAATATTATGTATGGGTTAGTTTCCTCAAAAAAAAAAAAAAAAATAATAATAATAAAAAATAGTTAACCACACCAACCTAAAAAATATACTAGCTTTGTGTATCTGAACTTACATGGACACTAGAATATGGAATTTATTTTGACACAACACTGGATTGGAATTTTTTTTTATTTCTAACACTAGATTAGGAAACCATTTTGTCATTTTCCGTAAATTGTACTCGTCGAAAATTAGTTTATATTTTCATTTTCTTTTTATCCAAAAGGTATAAGCCGTACAAAGTACAACTATCTTGCTACTATGATCAATCAAAAGAAAATAAAAGCTAATACAAATATCATTTTAGATAGAATAACTAGTTATTGGCCCGGGTGATGTCCCGGTTTATTATAAATTTATTACTCTAATTAAAGTATACTTTGGTCTTGTTTGACACTGAGAGCTTAAATAGTGTGTGTGTGTGGGTGTGTTTTTTAAGATGAGATCTTAAGTACGTAGGTAGTGTTGTAATATAAGAAGTATTTCAAGGCTATAATAAGAAGTAAACAATAAGATCGAAAAGTTAATCTTATGACAATGGAAAGAGTACGGTGTGTCGTGAAGCAAATTCATTGACTTGAAAACGAAATTCCGGCGCAATCGGGGTGCACAATTGTATTCGTCGGCACGTTCCCTAAGGTTAATACACCACTTCCACACAAAGACACTTTTGGATAGAAGGTTGGAGCCAAGTAACTTATGCCCAATATAGAGTATGTGTTTTAGCTTGTATTTGAAGGTTATGTTTTTATGTATATATAAATCAGAAAAATGATTCTTCAATTAATAAAGATGGATGGAAGAACATTGAAGAATCTTAATCATCAATGAGAGTGAATAAATCAACATAAAGATGAAGATTAAATCACCTTAATCATCTCCTTAAATGTGGGGGTTACAAGGAATCAACAAGAGAACAAGAGGAAAGAATCCAAGGGAATTAGTCCGTTGGTATCCAACAGAACCACACTTGTCCAATCAGGCGGACATCCAAAGCAAACATAAAAACCTAGCAGCATCATGCGCATGACCTGGCAAGGCTCGCTCGATCGAGCGACGGTGATGGCCAATTTATTCTTCTTTCTTGATGCCAAATGACCTTTCCCCTTACCTCCCTTTATTCCAACAGTTAGTTGTTTGTGTAAGCTAGTTGGTTTGACTTTTTTTTTTTTTTTTGTGTGTGTGTGTGTGTGTTAATATAGAACAAATGATGAATCAAATCTTTATAATTTTGATGTTAATGTATACTATTAAAGATTATTGCTCGTACTCTGTAACTACAATTTTATGAATTAATGCACAAAAAATGGAATAATGATTAATTTCTTACAAATTATATTATTGTGCAATTACTAAAGATTTCAAGGGGAATTTAAATAGGGTGGTTACACATATGAAAAGCTTTTCAATCAAATTATATTATCGTGCAATTATTAAGAAGGAAATTTAAATAGAGTAGTGGTTATACATATGAAAGTTTTTCAATTAAATTAAACCAATGAAGAGTTTTCCAAGAAGACTAAACATTACTACACTTCGATTATGTGGCAAGCTTGGAATATGATGTGGCGCAAAAACACAGAAAAAAATGACACATGGCGATATAACACTCCTTACCTTGGAGTTTTATCAATAAAATATAGATATAGATTTACGGGACATACTGTGTTTGTTTGTAAACCAACTATTTTATTTTCGTACGCTTTAACTTATTTAGAATTAGCTTATTACATCGAGTTTATCACTAATAGATAACCCTTCCATCACGATTCTTGAGATTGATGACAACTTGTAGAGCGTGAACTTGTGTGAAGTACTAATGCTTGAACTAAGTATGGTATATATATGAGTTGTTTCCAGTTTCAAAGTGTGTGTTACTAAAGCGATGCACATATCGACAGTTGTGGAATATCTGGATTCCCATTGGGAAGGGGGTGAAAGAGGTTAAATTTGAGGATGAAGAAAGTTGAGGAAGGTAAGACTGAAAAAACAAAGTCGGTTAATTGACAAGAGTCTAATATCATTTTAAACTTCCATCCACGATATTAAAAATAGGAGAAGACTTAAATGTACTATTTCCACATGTTACAAACAACGAGAATACAATTTTGGATGATAATCTATTGTTTTTTCCAGCATAGTCATTACTTGCAAAAGACCATTTATGATTATAAAGTAGCCTAGCCAATTTTGTTGTTAGGTTATTTTCCAAAACGAATTTGTGTTAGAGTAGTCTAATAAAGTGTGATTGATGCATTTTTCAAAATGACTACATAATGCCATGCATCGATTGGCAAAATACGTTGTTTGTAGAGTGTATATTTGACTTGAAGAAAATTAGTACAACGCTTAGTTCATTTGAGATCCCATAATTTTTCATTATTATAAACATTTTTCAAAATTAATGCTCTTATAGGGAGGAAGTATAAATGTAGGGTTGTGAGACAAAATAAGATGTCTCACAACATAAAATAATACTTTGTATACAAAATGTACAAGGAAGAGGGAGAAAGGAAGAGAGAGATAGAAAGAGTGAATCTATGATGACAAAATTTAAATCCCACATTCCCACATAAATTGACCAACCTGTCCCTCCGAGCCACTTCTAAATACCTCTCAACCCTCTGTTTAGAACACATCCTCTTATAGGATCATTATAGGATCATTATTCTAATAAATACACATGTACTTTGTAAATAGTTTTCTTTATGCCCGAACAATCTGGGTTTTAAAGTATAGTAAATTTATTCTACTTTGTGACAAGAGACAATTATGTAAGTAACTAATACTCCATAGTCCATTATAGATTACTCAACAATTAACATTGACTCAAACTCAAATTCTACCATTTTTTTGTCTAAGAGGAAAAAAATGATCAACTTGGGAAAATTAATATATAAACATTGATCATCAAATCATAATAAACATAGTTTTATAAGAACTAACTTGAAACCAAAACGAATGCCTGTATAAGTCATAATTCCATACTTAACTTTAATCCAATATGAAGTATAAATGATCCAATTATCATCTTATCTATAAATACAATACGAGAATTTTATACTCCGTACCCTACTCAAGTGACTTGTGTGTCCCACATTGAAAACATCGGTAGGAAGAGCAAAAACAAAAGGAAAGACTAATCTGGGGGTAACGGGCGGCCGATGGGAATTTCTGGATACGGAAATCCAATTCCCATTTGCCGATTCCCCAAATTAGAGAGAGAAAGATCAATAAACTATGATCATTATTCTCTTTTACTCCATTCAACTACCGCTTCCTTGCGACTCATCTTCAGGTCAAATTTCTACCCTTTTCCTTTCTTTCTTTCTTTTTTTTTTTTTTTTTTTTCCTCCGTTGTTCTGTATCATGTCCTATATTTTGAGAACTTATATCTGTGATTTGTACAGTTCATGGTTTTACTTGAATTAGCAATGTGAAATTGTGTTCAAATCTGGTTTATGTTACCTTGAACTACAAAATCTGATGAATTAAAGATGGGATTTTGTTGTATTTGATAATTTGTTTGTTTAATTTTTCTGGGCAGTAGCGTATTGTGTCAAATTGTTACTATTTGTAGCTGAATAGGCATCTGGGTATGGTTGTTTCTTGTTAAGGACTGAAATTGGTGTGATGGGTTTTGATTTTAGGGTTAAGAAAGTTGCAGGAAACCTAACAAGCAGTTGATTCTTTTGCCATTAGAATGTTGCACTATGTTTGGATAGGAGGAATTGATTACAAAGAGTATTTCGAATTGCACTATCACCCCGTGTTATTAAGGGTCGAATTCGTTCCTCGTTTATTCTTAGTTTGTTTGATGATCAAGTGGGGAAATCACATGAAATAGGAAATGAAGGTACTAATTAATCTCGGTCTACTGGGATTATCTGTTACTCTGTGAGCCTCATAATGCTTTTAAGTCAATAGGGAATGGAAATGGTACAATTCAAATTAAGTTTCATGAGGCGAAAGAATGCAGATTAGAGTTAAGTGAAGCATGGTTATGTTTTTTGTTTTGTTTTGTACTGGGCAAAGGCATAGTTGCGTCTTGTATCATGATGAGTACTTGTTTTTGTAGATTTTTTTTTAAATAAAATGGTTTTTCTGATGTTTAATGGTTTTATCACCTGCAGGTTCTGCTGTGGTTCTGATCTAATTTGCTGGTGCTGTGCTGTGCTGTGTTCCATTGCAGAGTTTGAATTAGCTTAGCTGTGATATGGACTCCGATGATCCTACTGCTGTTAGAAAACTTCAGAAGGCTGGCCGTGAAAAACAACGCAGGTGTCGGTTGAATGAGCAGTTCATTGAGTTGGGAACCACACTTGGTAAATCTATTGACACCTTTTGTTCGAATTTTCATTTTGCCTCTGTATCTACATGCTAAACTTGTTATAAGCTCATGGCACTCATTACTAGACTCTTATCTTCTGTAAAGGAAATATTTCAAAACTAGACCATTTTAGAAAATTGGGTGCTGCTTGCTTTATTCAGGGGCATTCCCATAAAGTTCTTGTTTTCAGAGGGGAGAAACCCATTAATCTTTTTCATATATATACATATACATAGGTTAGAATTATGTGATCTGAGAGGTGAAGCTATTTTCTGTTGTTCCATAGCATTCAACAGGCACATTGCATCAAAAGCTACTTTACCTGTATAGTTTAGGAGAAATAAATGTCAATTACGACTTTACGAGTAATATATATAAATCAGATAAGACAGTTTCAAAAATGTCAAATATAAATGAAAAGAACAAACTCTTTTGTCAGTTCTTTCTCTTTGGGAAAGAGCTGCTGGTCGCATATTGAAGCTAGTGATCCTCGGTTTAAAAAGTGTATCAATTACGCTGCGTTAGGGAAATCCGTCAATGATGTTTAAGAACACTAGAAAGACAGAAACATGCAATGGGGCAGATTGAGGGGAAAGGGACTCTTGATTTGATGATTAGATGCCATGAGACAATGACACATTGATTGTTGGAGGAGGAGGATGTGTTGATGGATTGAGGCTGAAGCCTTGAGTAACTGATGTGACGATTTGAAGTGAAAATTGACTAATAGCTTGATAGGTATGTCTTGAGTCTAGAGCAGGGGTAATCTGTTTTCAATACAACAAATTTATTATTTATACACTGTAATGGTTTATAGATTGAACCTGGATTGCTCAATATACAACTATACTTTGTGTTATTTTTGGATTTCTGCTGATAAGTATAACTGGTGAGTATTTATGGTCCAATGCAGATGCTGAAAGGCCAAAGAATGACAAAGCTACCATACTAACTGATACTATTCAGCTGCTCAAAGATTTGACTGCTGAAGTCGACAAACTTAAAGCCGAACATACTGCTTTGAGTGATGAATCTCGTGAGGTGGTGCTTTTTGCTCAACTAATTATAGTTTCTTGATAACAAGCATCTCTCATGAAAGCTCTCTGATCTCATGCTCTCCTACAGTTGACGCAAGAGAAGAATGATCTTAGGGAAGAGAAGACAGCTTTAAAATCAGACATCGATAGACTTAGTTCACAATGTCAGCAGAGAGTTGGTCCTGCTTATCCATGGGTAGCTATGGATTCGGTTCTTCAACATCCACCTTCTTACCCATATCCCATGCCGATGCCCGTTCCTTCAGGTGCAGTCCCAATGCATCTATCTATGCAGCCATATCCATTCTTTGGCAATCCAAACCCTGGAATGTATGCCAACCCATGTTCTACTTTTATTCCATACATGGCCCCGAATCTTCCAGCTGAGCAGCCATCAACCCAAGATGTTTCTCCTCGCATGCAGCCAGGTAGTAGGACCCAAGTTTCAGCCGGACATGGTGTTGGAACTTCATCAGATAAGCATGATAGACAAGTCAACAAAAACGATGACTCTGGTGATGTCCCAACAAACCTGGAGCTCAAAACGCCAGGATCGACTACAGATGAGGTCTCAACTTACACTTCCACAATTTTTTCATATGAATAATTGTCAAGTGTTTTTTAAGAGATTGCCAACCGAATATAGGACACCTCGGATTCTAAATCTGACTCATATGCCACCTAATCAATTTCACTTTGTTTTTGTCGTCGTTGTTGTGCAGAATACATCATCAGGGAACCGTAAGAAAAGGATTGCAGAAGGGAGTTCTTTGAGTAGATGTTCATCTCATAGTGTACAGGATAGCTCATCAAGTAGCATAGTCGGTGGTGGCAAGGGTAATGATTGATGTGCTGGAGAATTTTGACTATTGCCTAAAGCTCTGACCTCTATACTCCTATAGGAAGTTCCTCTCATACTGTAATCTGTCCTTTCGGATCTCAGTCTGCCTAACGTAATACACTGGTGTATTAGTGCGCTTAGATTATTTGATTAATGATTTATTAATTCACTTCTGGAGATGAATCATGTCATTACAAAGTATTATGCAATTACACGAGTAATGTATACTACACCTTGGTGTGTGAGATTAATTGGCAAGTTAGTGAATTTGTATGTGTTGCTGCAGCTCAGATCAGAAGCTCTTCACTGTTCTGTTATAACTTACTTCTGTACAGTGTTGTCAATGTATGTTTGTTATAAATGGACAAATGGTGGTGTCTGGTAAGCTTACCGTAATATCTGTTTATTGCACTCCGTACTGTCGTACATCTTATTATTTGAATTCCATTTATTAAATCATTTAATCGTGTAATTTCGATTTACACTCTAATGTGAGAAACTTGAATCATCGACCCAATTAACACAACTTTGATTTGATATGAAAGTTCTAACAATTAAATGATTTTTATCCAACCTGACTCGATATAACCCAAACCTGATCCAAATACAAAGTAGCAAAATTTGCTCATCAACTTTGACTTTGTACACTGCAATTGATAAAACGATACCTGTCGGGTAGATGAAAAAAGCACCTAACATCATGCTATACAACTGAAAAAATCCAAGCAGAATCCTTCATTCTTTCTCCTTTTCACCCATCACAACGACGACGTATGACGACGACCACACCAACCGCAAGTCACAGATAAGTTTTGGGCCACTCTAATACAAACTTACAATTTTACAAAATACTCCCTCATCTCTTCAATAGCGCGTAAACTCACTCTCCAATTACTTTCTTTTCACAAGCAGCACGTGCACCACACGCGTAATTTTCGGACAAAATAAAATGGGAGTACTAAATGTCCTTTGGGTAGGTGACGGTCCATTTTCTCTCTCCTAGAAATAAAACCCCTAAAAACTCTGACCACACTCCTTTCAGTAGCTACCACCAGTATTATTCACAGGAAGAATTTGAGGAGAGAGAAAACGAAGAAGGTCGATAATGGCGGTTGTCTCAACATCTGTTGCGTCGCAAATTAATAACCCTAACTCGGTTGTGTCGACTCAGTTTTCTGGTCTTCGAAGATCGTTTCTGAAGCTCGAAAGTTCCGTTTCGACTCAGTCGTCGTTTTTCCAGAATGTCGATTCTCATTTGCGCTTGTCTTCCTCCTCTCGCCGTGGTCCTCGAGGTGTTGTTGCTATGGCTGCTTCTGGGAAGGTATCACACTTTTTTTTTTTTTTTTTTTCAATTTTCTATTAATTTATATTTGGATGAATTGATAATTTAGAGAAATGTCAAATTAATTTGATGTAGTGCATTATACTGTGTGAATTTATGATTGCATTATTATTAGTGAGATTGTGAGAAATTTTGAATGTGGTGAATTTTTTGTGTTAAATTCTGAGTTTAATTACATGAATATGCTGATTTGGTTGCTATATGCTTTTAATTGGGCTGGCAAATGATACTGGTACTGTATTCAGAATTGTAATTTCCTGTTAGGAGAAAAAAATAAAATAAAAGAAAAAACAAATTTGAAGAATCTGAGTGTGTTGAACATTTTGCCTCAATGTGAGCGAGTGAGATTGTGTAGTGGACAGTTATTCACTTGACAAAGGTTATTTACACCAATCCAATATATGAGTCGAATTAGTCCAGTGTCTTTTACAGAATAGCAAAATCATGACTCGTTCTACGGCATTGATGCAACACCAATGTTACTTAAAAAGATTAATATAACATGTGAAATCGGCTAAGATGATTGCTTAAGATAGTAAGCAGAATTTGCGGTTTTATAAGTTTTTGTTTAGTTGACTTTTGAATTGCTGAATTGACTCCTAATACATTTTGGTCTATTTTTTTTGCAGTTCTTTGTTGGTGGCAACTGGAAGTGTGTAAGTACTATCATCATTTGCTCTATTTGCAATATGCTAAACTATTCCCCTGGGTCTTGATTTAGTCTATGATATCAGTTTTCAAATTGTGTAGCGTGATTTGTCCATTCTTGCCGTCTACGATGTTGTCCTGAACCAAATGTTGTCTATGATGATCCCTTACTTTCCTTTTGATTTGTGCCTCGGGAGTTTGGACTGATAGTGACACATCTGATTCCTTGTTCTACTGTTCCTACTTATTCCTTGCTGCCTTCTCTTGTCTTGATAATTGCAATTTAAACTTTTCTCAACTCTATAGCGTCAACTTATGTCAATTGTATAATTGCCGCAGGAGGGCATTTTTTTTGAAGTGGCCATAGATAAATTGTAGTTCAGATTAAGAAGTTGATTATTTCTCTACTGACATAGTTGTTAATCAAAATGACTGGCTTTGCATAGTGTCCTAGATCTCCTATTTATTAGGCCAGTTATGATAGTGTTACTTCAAACTTTCCCGTGCACCAAAGGAGTTTAGAAGCTTTGTGAACTCAGGCTGAATCCATTGCTCCAAGGAGTTCCAAAATACTTGTAGTTTGTTTTGGTCAAAAGTAGTTACTACACGATTGATGGAACTTTTAATTTCAAAAGCTTATAGTACTGCTGCTTGCTTACCTATATTGGCATAGTGAAGAAACTACATTTTGTTTTAGTACGTTAAACTCATTGCATCTGTTATCCTAATGTCAAAAGTAGCTGATTAGATAACAAGTGCTACTTATCAAAAATATTTTTAGTTGAGGATACACAATCTTTTTTTTTTTTTTTTGTTATTGCTTTGTTGGCCTTAAATCTCAGTTATGGTTTTTAGCCTGTTAATTGTCTTCAAGTTTTAGTCCTCTCCTCTTTTTTTATATATATTTTGGTTTCTAAAGCTCTGCATTTCTCTCTGTTTTAATAGAATGGGACCAAAGAATCTATCTCTAAGCTTGTTTCAGACTTGAACAGTGCTACACTGGAGGCCGATGTTGGTAAGATAAATCTTATGTTTTATTGTCATGCTGCTATATTTATAACTTTTTAGGGTAACTTCAGATTTGGTTTCATTTGCTGAATATTTGTTTTATACAGTATACTTTAATACTTTAGTTTCTCCCTTCAAATTGCTGTATCTAGAGTTATCGTTAGTTCATTACTTAAACTTGATGTAGCTGATTTCTATTCTGGCCTTTTTATGGTTACAGGCTTGTAGTTTGAGATTTAAAACATAGGGTAGGAATGTCTGATGGAGGGCATGGCTGTGTGTGTGTGTGTGTGTGTGTGTGTGTTGAAGTTGCTACTGTTGAGGGGTGCTCATAAGATTTGTTGCATAAATCTAACTTCACAAGGCTTTCAATAATACGTGAGATATTCATTTTTCATCTGTGAACTCCCGGGGGATATTGCAGATGTTGTTGTGGCACCTCCATTTGTTTACATTGATCAAGTTAAAAATTCCCTGACCAGCCGAATCGAAGTATCAGCACAAAATTGTTGGATTAGCAAAGGTGGAGCTTTTACAGGAGAAATCAGGTGAGCTATTATTCACTTCTTGTTGTATCCTATTTCTTTTGAGTCTTTGCATCCATTTCTACCATTTTCCATTTGTTGTTATTTCAAATTTTCTTGGAAATCATTCACCTTATAACAACAGTTAGATGGCATTTTTTACATCATTTCCAAGCATGTTGCCCTCCCATCATTCTATAAATATGTGGCAGCTAAAGTAACATGTCTTGTGTTGATTGGTTGAGGCCTAAGGTGGTATCATCTACATCACGTCCAAGCATGTTGCCCTCCAGCATTCTATCAATTATGTGGCAGCTAAAGTACCTTGTCTTGTGTTGATTGGTTGAGGCCTGAGGGTAATATTGCCATATTCCCTAGGGTCCATACATCACTAGAATGTTCTTCTGCTACATTAAAATGTTGTTTGATCGTGTGGTTCTATTGGTTCATTATGTGAGTGAGATTCTCATTAAGAGCATGCTTTTAAGTAGGTTGGTTTTCCAAGATTGATTTGTGAATGGAGATTAAACCACCTATTCTACATTTCTACTAAGATCTGTATTCAATGCTCTCTTGAATTTTAAGGTTGAGGTTTGTGACTAATAAAGGTACACAGTAGTTTGCAATTGGCTAGGTATACCAAAATCTTGTCTCTTTTTCCCGATGAGTGTTTTTTTAACGTATATACAATAGCATTTTTTTTTACAAAAAATACCTCCAGATAGGGTAGGGGGACTCGGTACAATTGTGTGGAGGCTCTTTAGCGGTTTAGCCTTCCTCTTCAGTTGCAAGTATATTGCTTTTATTAGACTCTTTATTCTGATCTGCTACATGTTTAATTAAAAGTGGATGACAAATTGTGAGATGTTTGATTGAGTCCTAATTTGCCTCAAGTTGAAACTTTACCTTTGGGACTTAAGGGATACCCTTGTCAAAATAGCTGAATGTGGCAATATATGGCTGTTTATACTACCTCTGTTACATATTAGTTGCAACTTTGGGTATTATTTGTGAGATATAAAATATTCCAAAGTTGCAACTAATATGTAATGGAAGTAGTATTTGTTTTTTAAGCTTTCCCATATGCTTTGGTTATGTTAACATCATGACAAACACAAATTCTATGCATGTGAAATTGTATATTTATTCAATTCAGGTCATTGAATATGTCCTGTTATCATGATTTCTATGCACAAACAGAAAATTTCTAAATTAGGCTTATGATGATCAATAAAATACAACCCTGATTTTAGAGGGGCATAAATTGTCATGATTAAAACAAAATAAATATTAGTTGTAAGTGATTTATCATCTAATTTTTCTTATACTATGCCATTTGTTTGTTTAAGTTCTTTGGAGATGATTTGTATCTGATTCATCTACTCAAGTGATCCTGTGTATGGGGTTTCAATTCACCTTTTTTAACATTATGTGTCCTTTGCTATGGTTTTGTTGAGGATTCTGTGTTATTCTCTTTTTTAGACAGTTTTTTTTTTTTTTATTTTACCTGGATATTTCTGTCTCTCAGTGTTGAACAATTGAAGGATCTTGGCTGCCTGTGGGTTATTCTTGGGCATTCTGAGAGAAGGCACGTTATTGGAGAAAAAGACGAGGTAAACTTTGTACTGGACATGCAATAGTGATACCAGAATACGATTATGGTACTCTATAAAGGTCTATTACCATACTCTGTAGTAAAGATCAATTGCATCCAGTTTATAGGTAAAAAGGCTGCATATGCTCTGAGCCAAGGTGTTGGAGTGATAGCATGTATTGGGGAACTGTTGGAAGAAAGAGAAGCAGGAAAAACCTTTGATGTATGCTACCAGCAAATGAAGGCTTTTGCAGGCAAACTTTCATTTAATTTCGTCCATTGTGTAATATCTATTATATATGTGAGCTTTGATGTTAGAGAAGGATGTTAATAACTTTGCAAATACATGGTGTTTTTCACATGTGCAGATGCCTTACCTAGCTGGGATAATGTTGTTGTTGCTTATGAACCTGTATGGGCTATTGGTACTGGTAAAGTAGCTAGCCCAGAGCAGGCTCAGGAAGTGCATGTTGCTGTTCGAGATTGGCTTAAAAAGAATGTTTCTGAGGAAGTTGCTTCTAAGACACGCATCATTTATGGAGGTATTAAAAGTGCCAGTTTCTCCCTGCCTAGAACTATGTTCAAATTGATTGTCCTGGTGTGTCTGATGCAGTCTAGGGATCAAATGTGAGGTCATGTGGCACATTTATCCTGTAATCACTTGATCTAAAAAGAAAGTGAGCCCATATCTAGAATGGGGAATTGTTTGGCAGCTATCTTCATCTACACCTTCATATGAGACAGATTGGGGGAAAGGGGAAGGGGGGCAAAAGTTTCAAAAGTTTGGGCATTGATTTAGGCCCACTTTATAAAGTAATGTGTCTGAAGTTAAATGTCAACTTAAGATCCTGCGTATTGTCTCCACAGTAAACTTGTTAATCATCTGATGATCTGAATATCTGATCACTATTTTCTGTTAGTCATTGCTCAGCGCAATTTAGTTTAACAGCTAATTGGCGATAAGATTGACCTGCAGCTTAAAATGAATTTGATGATTATGATAATTTATGAAATGCAACTGAATTTTCTGACATTCATTTATGCACTTACAGGGTCTGTTAACGGAGGCAACTGTGCAGAGCTTGCAAAAAAAGAAGATATAGACGGCTTTCTTGTGGGAGGAGCTTCTTTGAAGGTAACAGCATTGCTTCCATCCCTCTCTTCCCCTCTCCTGTTGTATGATCCACTATTTTCCAAGAAATTTTTATCATCATTATTAAGGAAATCAGCTGCTCTCTGGTTGGATCTGCTGGAGATTAGCAAGTGGAGGATGAGAAATACACTAGATAAATGACGAGTCTATAGATTATGACCATTATGTACAGTAATATGATATGTTGTACGTTAGTTTTGAATTGGCTTGGGCCTTTGGATTAAGAGTATGCACATCTTAACCTGCACAAGTTATACCACCCTGGGTGTTAACCAACCACCTATGTATCCATATCATGCTTAAGACGAGTAGTAGACCTTTCTGCCCCAATGAGTTTACACACTTTCATGGTTAGGTTGTCCCAAATTAGTCTATTATGGCCTGGGTTTGGGACTTTGGGAGTACTACCTCCAAGGTTCCAATCACATTTACATAACTTTTGTCCTTCTGTTTCTCTTCAATCACTCACTATCGCCAATCACATCTACTAACCACAACTATAAAAAAAATAGCTTAGCAATCACTTTTCCAGGCCTGTAGCTTGTTTTGGGTCAGGGGCTGTAACAAACATCCTATAAGGCAGCTCTTTACTACTACATTCTTAATAAGTTGCAACATCAGCTTTAACCCCGTAATTCTTTTGAACTGTTTTGATGAAGGTTTCCTCTTTTTCTAACTGATAATATTGATCTTTTCAAGGCATTGTATTTATATTGGATTCTTTTCAAGGCATTGTATTTATATGGCATTGTATTTATATGGCATTGTATTTATATTGGATTCTGATCAGCAACTTTTGACTGTGTAGGGTCCTGAGTTCGCCACCATCATTAATTCTGTAACGGCGAAGAAAGTTGCTGCCTGACCATTTTTATGAATATGGCTGCAATGGCTATTAGAGTTTCTTGATGAATCGTGTTGTAACGAAGATGTATTCTATTATTGACCTGTTCTGTGTATGTTGGATGTTTTATTGGGAGTTTTTATACATGATCGAGAATAATATGGTCAACAGGGATTTTCAATGAAAATTTTGAGAAGTGGATGTATCTTTACAGTGTATTAATTAATAAGCAAGCTTGTCATTGAAATGCTTTGAATCAATAATAGCGTGCAAAGACCTTATTGATGCATTACTTTTTATAATCCGATTATACGTATTTCCACAAATAATGCTATATTACAGCTTGCATTAATTTTGGTTAAAAACTACAGGATTAACAAAGATTTTTTATTTATTTTTTATTTTTTAAATGTTTTGTTATGTTCGTTATTACTAACCGCTTGCATAAATTTTGGTTAAAATTAATCAAATCTCTATTTTGTTCCATTATCATATAAAAAGAATATTTCGTACTTTTTTTTTCCTACAACAAACTTCATAACTCTACTCAATCATATAAAAAAAAAAAAAATAAAAAATTACTTAAGTCTATTAATGAATATCACAACAATGAAACTACTTGGTATATATTTTTCAGTTGTCAAATTTGCTTGCATCAAGATTTGATTTATTGCACATTCCATTGAAAGAACTTGATATGCATGTTCGTTTATTACAATTTTTTTAGAGAGGGTAAAATGGTCCACTCAAAAATTCCCAACCAAAAACACCTCTTCTTTTTATATACTCCGATTACATAGATTTTTTAATACTCGAGTAACTCAACCAATAATCAAACATACATGTTATAAAAACTTTTCACAAATTTCATTCAAAATACTCATTTTAGACGTTAAATTTTTTTTTGAAATTACGTTGATAAAGAGTTTGCATTTTTTTTTTATAAAAAAGTGTAAAGTAACGATACACATGAATTGACGTGAATATTAGACAGAGTTAATTTTTCTATTTTAATAATTTATTAAGTTTTACAGATTTAAATTTAATTAAGTACTTTGAATTTGTTCCTCAAAAAAAGTACAACTTTAAATTTGAAATTAGAATATTTTAGATATTAAATTTTAAATTTTAAAATCTAAATTTAATTCTATTAACTTAAAATTTGATATCAGAAATTAAGGATAACACTAAAAAACAGCATCTGTTTTGATTTAAAAAAGATATGAAGTATCTAACAGATTTAAATCTCTAATTACTCCTATAAAAGATGACATTTCATACTCTTCTCTACAACAAACTTCATTAATCAGATATTTTCCAACCATCCTCGAAAATGAAGAGAAAGAACTCAAACTCTGCAATCCAAGAAAAACAAGAACATGATGATTCTCTCCTTGATCTTTCTCTATCAATCCCTTCAAACAAAGACCCCTCCTCTTCATCGACCAACACACCGCGTGTCCGGCGCAACTCTGCCGCACCTTCACAAGCACGGGAGGCGGCCAAGAGCGGCACAATCACACCACCATACCCTTGGGCAACTGAGTACCGAGCCAAGGTCCATTCAATGCAGTACTTATTACAAAATGGGAGACGAACCATAAATGATCAAGTACAATGCAAGAAATGTGAGAAAACTTTTGACTTAGATTATGATATTCAAGAAAAGTTCCAAGAAATTAGCACACTTATAGCAACACAGAGAGACGAGTGGCATAATCGCGCTCCTCGTGCTTGGACCGATCCTGTGCTTCCAACGTGCAGGCTTTGTGGAGAGGTAGATGCTTGTAAGCCATTGATTTCGGAGAAGAAGAGAAGTATCAATTGGTTGTTCTTGGTACTAGGACAACTTTTGGGATGTTGCACTTTGGAACAATTGAAGTACTTTTGCAAGCATACTAAACTTCATCGTACTGGTGCTAAGGATAGGTTGATTTACCTTTCTTATTTCGAATTATGCAAGCAGCTTGATCCTAAATGGTCCGTTTGATCTGGATGATTAAGTTTATTTTTAATAATAATTAGGCCTAATCGAGATTTATTGTAGTAATTAGGGTAATCGAGTTTTATAGTAGTAATTAGGCCTTTAATTTTCGATTACATTGCTAGATTTGATTTCATGTTGAAGAATTATGTCATGTATTGCATTTTTTCTTGGGTAAGTGATTTGATTAATTAAAATATGTTTTTCTCATCTACATTTTAGGCGTAATTTTAATACACTGGTATATACGTTGCATTTTTTTTTTATGTGTTTTGATCCAAGATGATTGGATCCCACTTAATCCTTCAAAACTATTAGGTCATTTCATTCACTTCTTATGATTAAGTAGTATATTGTATACGTGTTTGGAATAGTCATTAGGATTTTGTGCAAACATAAATAAACTAAAGTGTTATAAAATTGGAGAAGTCAACTTATTTTAATTTCCTCATTTAGTTCTTTTATCCAATGCCCTAAATTTAATTTCCTCATTTAGTTCATTAATCCAACGCCCCAATTTCTGATTTCGCCACTGAATATACGTAGTATAACCTAATATTCTTAAATATCCTATCACTCCTCCATTTCGATCCACCAACGAGGGTTTGACAATAAACACAAAAGTACGACTCAAATTGTAGGCTGACCGCTGACTCATGAGTAATTTGTAGCATTGAATTACCAAATACAGTAGAAAGATCGGTACTAGTAGTTTGGGCCTTTTACCCGAAAAACACGAATAATTAACCCGAAAAAAAAAAAATATACCCTCCAAAACACTCTTCTTCCTCAGTTGCTCAGTTTCATCGTTTACCTCTGAGCTTCGTAGTTTCTCTCTCCTAAAATCATCAAAAATGACGAAATTGAGGAAGCTCAATCGACCTACTGGTCACCGTTTGTCTATGCTCAGGTTCTTCCCTTTACATCATTCAATTTTTCATTTTGATTTTATTAATTAAAGCGAGAAAAAATGTTTGATAATTTTAATTTTTTTTTTTTTGAGGGTAGGACAATGGTTTCTCAATTGGTGAAACACGAGCGAATTGAAACTACTGTTGCTAAGGTTTGTTACTCTTTCCTCACTTTTCACTAAATCTTTGCAGAAAAAAAGGTTTTTGTTAGGGTTTATGATCTGGGGTTTAGCTGATTTTGAGTAATTTCATGTTGGGAATTTAATTTAATAATATTGAGTACTTTTTGTGTTCGCTATTTGCAGGCAAAAGAGGTTCGAAGATTAGCTGATAACATGGTTCAATTGGGAAAAGATGTAAGTATTTGATAAGAAAATATATTGTTTTCAATTAATCTGACGCATTCATTATCAATGTGAATTCTTGTCCTTTGTGAAATGATTTTTAGGTTGCATCTCTTAGTTGGATTGGATTTTATTGTTTTTACTTTGTACCGGGGGAGTTTAGTGATGAACTGATGATGGCTTATTGGTCTTTTGGTGGGTTTTACTGTTTCGATAGCTTGTTCTATTTTATCTACTGAGAAATAGAAGGTTGAGAATTAGATGAGACTAAAGAGATATATTCGAATTTAAGATGTTTATGAAGGAAATATACTACTTGTATTTTAAATTCATTTCTTTGTTCATTGTAGTTGCTTCTCCTTTGGGCATTATACTTTGTCGTTGTACAAAGATGCCTTACTTTGTTGAAAATAAGTAAAGAACTTAGGTTGAAGAGACTAAAGAGATATATTCGAATTTAAGATGTTTATGAAGGAAATATACTACTTGTATTTTAAATTCATTTCTTTGTTCATTGTAGTTGCTTCTCCTTTGGGCATTATACTTTGTCGTTGTACAAAGATGCCTTACTTTGATGAAAATAAGTAAAGAACTTAGGTTGAAGAGACTAAAGAGATATATTCGAATTTAAGATGTTTATGAAGGAAATATACTACTTGTATTTTAAATTCATTTCTTTGTTCATTGTAGTTGCTTCTCCTTTGGGCATTATACTTTGTCGTTGTACAAAGATGCCTTACTTTGTTGAAAATAAGTAAAGAACTTAGGTTGAAGAGACTAAAGAGATATATTCGAATTTAAGATGTTTATGAAGGAAATATACTACTTGTATTTTAAATTCATTTCTTTGTTCATTGTAGTTGCTTCTCCTTTGGGCATTATACTTTGTCGTTGTACAAAGATGCCTTACTTTGATGAAAATAAGTAAAGAACTTAGGTTGAAGAGACTAAAGAGATATATTCGAATTTAAGATGTTTATGAAGGAAATATACTACTTGTATTTTAAATTCATTTCTTTGTTCATTGTAGTTGCTTCTCCTTTGGGCATTATACTTTGTCGTTGTACAAAGATGCCTTACTTTGATGAAAATAAGTAAAGAACTTAGGTTGAAGAGAGTCAAGAGACCATGGACATGTTGAAGCTTGCTTGTTTGTTTTCTACTAGAATATAGAGGATTAAAGGGTGTAACTGTAAGTGTAGGATTCACTAGATTTATAAAAGAATTGCATTTTGTGTCGAGTGGCCCATACTTATGTTGGGATGTCAAGTGTTAGAAATGGGATACCTGAGGTATATAAAGACTGACTTTAAGAGTAACATAGCTGCCTGTTTTCATGATTAGAACCATCTTTTGGTATTCTGCCTTAATAGAATGAGATTCAACCTTCTGAGAGGTGAGATTATTACTGGTAGCATTTGTCAGCTAGCATTTTGTTACACATTCATACCTCATTATTAGCTCTCAGAATATCAAGTATAGATCTGTATGCATACTGTGCTTGTTTTCCTTTTACTGACAAAAAATGCTTCTATGAGAAACCAGTGCTATGGACTTCTATCTAAGTTATTTACTGTATTAATGTACGAGAGGGAACACGATTTGGTACCTACAATACGTTAGCCCAAAAATGTACCAGTAGCACATAACAATTTGCTATTTCTAACCGCAGCTTGAAGGGGGCTTAGGATTAGGTTCTGATGGTCATGCTATAAGTCCTGTGTATGTTACCTACCACAAAGTTCACTTTTTGATGCTCTCAATGGCCAAGATAAAAATCTAGCAATCCTGCAAGCAAGTATATACTACATTCCATGACAATTGTAATTAACTGCTTGGGTTTCCTTTGTTTGCTGCATATTTGCTATGTGGCGCTTTGGAAGCTCCTTTAGGGTGCTTTATAGCATTATATCCAGTAAATATTTTCTTGAAAGAACACTGTTTCAGTTCCCTTTCCCTGGAAACTTTAAGTAGTATAGCCCATATATATGGAATAAGCTATCAGAGCTCAAATTGCTACGCTGTTTCCTCATTATAGTATTGTCAGTGTAATTACCATACTTTATTTTTGTAGAACTGCTTTGTATCACAATCAAGTCTTTGGGATAGATAATATGAGCTCCATTAGAAACTTAAACCAGATAACTTTTCCATTAAGGTCGAGAGTATATATATATTAAACTTAACTATCTTAGAAATTTCAGTGACCTCAAGTTTCTCACGCAAATTGCTATTCAAGCTCTCCAATTTCTGTTGTTATTCTTTCGTAGGTGTGCTTCTTTCCCTTTGTTAATCAAAAGGTGGGGAACTTTACTTTGAGTTTTGGAATCCTTGCCCTTCTTTTTGTCTTAGTTTAGTACATATTCGCCACAGTTAGTTCTATTATAATTTCTAAACTGATTGATAATTTGATTGTATTTCACCATTTCCTTTTTTCAAAGAAAGGTCAATGTATTCTTGGTTTCTCATTGCTCATCCTTTTATGTTACGTGGCTTAATACTAATAAGAAATCAACATAGTGGCACTGCAGTTGCTTCCCATTTGCCTTAAAACATGCACCGTCATCAGTGATCAATTAGCCATCAAGGTGGAAAACAGGAAGCTAGGAAGGGTAGGTATGGGTAATACTGCAAGCCTAAATGTGAACAAGAATTAAGAGATGCAGGAAAGCTGGATGGAGACTCTAGATTGGGTTATTTCTGGCTTCTAGTGATGAAATGGATTTCAATGTTACTACTTTATCTCTTATTTTCCATAGCACTCACATGGCCATACGCTTCAATGTTCCATAGTCTTGCATGAGCCTGTGTCATGACAGGCTGTTTCTGACACAAGTTTTATGTTCTTACATGATGGTGCTTGCAAGACCACTCTGGCATAGATTTAGATATTTATCTGATTGTCACCCTCTCGTGAAAAGTTCTGATTTTAGATGCTAACGCACTAGCTTTAGTTTTATTACATGATTTTTTGAGAGTTGGCATCTTTAGATTTTCTGAATTCGTAACCTTCAAACCATGAAACCAGTGTGCTATAGTTACTAATGAGATAGAAGAACCTAACTGAAACTCTTTAAAGCCTTATTATGGCGAAATGTTAAAACTGTTTTAGATACATACATCGAATCCTTGATAACCTACAAATTGATTTTTTTATGCACTTCAGGGCTCCCTTTGTGCTGCTAGACGTGCTGCTGCTTTTGTCAGGGGCGATGATGTTATTCACAAGTTATTTACCGAGTTAGCATATCGATACAAGTAAATCTCAAATCTGGGCTGCTGAACATTGTGGTTTAATGGCTGCTGGTGGGTAGAATTTTATAAGACTATTAACCTGTATTGCTGGGTGATATTTGAAATGACTTGCAGAAACCGAGCTGGAGGTTACACGAGGCTGCTGAGGACACGTATCCGAGTGGGTGATGCTGCCCCAATGGCGTATATTGAGTAAGATTTGTTTCTTTTGAATTGGTCTTGAAACTGTTATCCATCAAGTTGGTTATTAATAACAGATATGTGTGCTGTAGTATCTTTCTTCGTAGTTGCTGGTTTTTATTGTCTTAAATGTAGTTGCCAGCGTCTTTGGAAATCAGTTTCCAGTGATCCAGACGTCGATGCCCTGTACAGCTGTGCCAGATGGACAATTTTGAAATTGTGAACTTTTGTGCTTATAAAAAAACTAAGCTCGGAATTCATAATTTTGGCCGTAAACTTAAAGCTGCACTATAGCTTCTATTTTGGGTGACTGGATTGTGGAATATTATAGTTTTCCCCTATGGTAGAAAACGGATTGAGCTATAGTATTTCAAATTCTTTTGCTCATAGTTCCCCAATCTTTTCCATGTGAGTTGCACTGTAAATGTAGGCCTGATTTCCTCTGTTAAGTGTCACTGCCTCTCTCCATGTGTGTCTTATCTGACATTGTGTTCTATATATTTTGAACAGATTTATTGACAGAGAGAATGAACTTAGGCAGTCAAAACCTCCAACTCCACAATTACCACAGAGAGCGCCCATGGATCCTTGGACAAAGTCAAAGCTTACCAGACAATATGCACCACCTAAAGAGGAGAAGAATTCTAATTCTGATATTTAGTATAATCTGTGATTTTGTGATAGTGCAATATATGAATTTTGTTTATTTCATGCTCAACACTGCAACACTATATGTTAACTCCAGTTTTTGTATCATTGTGGATATTTGGTGTATGAACAAATATTTGGCTGGTTAGTCGGTAATAAATAGTTTTGCCCTGATATGCTAACTAGCTTAATCTTCATGATAATAGTACGTAATTTTTATTTTTTTTAAAGGGGTATAGTTAGTTACCCTTTTGTTTAAAGATACGTCCACATATCCAAATTTGTTCATTTTAGAGAAATGCTATATTTTTTAAATTTTTACAAATTTGAAATTAGCATTTTTTATATCCCTATTACATAGACGAATAACCAATTCATCTGAATAAATTAATGCCGTACACAATTTTTATAAAAGAAAAGAAAAAAAAAACAAAAAAAAAACTAAAACCACCCTTCCCTACCACTGCCAGCCTCTCTCCCCACTAGCCACCCCTTTCCCTACCAGCGGCCGACGCCAACCAATTCCCCCGGCGTCGGCGACCTTCAATGTCGCCATATTTTCGCCACCTACACCTTAACCTACACCACCATCACTTACATCCACTGCACCGCCACCTATGTACACCACCAGCAACCATAACAGCCAACGAAACCACCATACCAACCCACCCCACTACCACCAAGATCCAAAAACCCACTTCTTTCCTACCCGAAAGCGATTTGGTCGAATGGTTCGGTTTGCTCCGGAAGCAAGGGGAATGGGACCAACGGAGAAGGGGGTTTGCTCCGGCGGGGAAGAGGTAGTTATAGGGGGTTCTGGTGGTGGTGGGGATTGGTTCACGTGGGAGATCGGAGGAGGGAGAGGGGTTGATTCTTTTTTTTTTTTTTGGTTTTTTATAAAGGTTTTTAGTTAAAAAAAAATTAAAGAAAAATTTAAAAAACGACCGGTTGTACAAGTCATCAGTCATTTGGGTTTATTTTGGGAGAAAAAAATAAAATTTGTGTTTGATTTGAGAAGATTTAAAAGTTGGTACATTATGGGAGAATTGCTCAAAGGTTGGTTTGTTTATGTTAAATTTTCCAAAAATATATGCACAAAAAATAACTTTTAGTATCAAATTAAATGATTTTTTTTTTTCAAAATAAGCTCAGAGATTGAAGCTAATAAACCTAAAACCCAACCAAATGTCGTAGGAATTATTCTTTTTTTAAATTGACTTGGAAATTTCCCCCCTCCGTTAATTGCTAAGACGAGTCATGTACATAACATTATTAATAGTCTATTTCAAAACATTGCCATTGGTTCGTGTAAAATTTAACGCATTTTATTTTGACTATCCGAACTACGGAGTATTTTTTTTTCAGTGTCTAATTTTACTAGCTATTAATTAACTTTATATTTTGGAAAATTAACGCTTCTTGATACTGTGATAAAATTCATCAAGAAAATCTACCATATACAGTAATAATTTATACTCCAACTCTTTCTTTTTGTTGTTCATCTTGTTTCACTTTTGCAAAATGCTTATTGCATACAAGTAATTATTACTCGTAATAAGTATTCTAGATTTTTTTTTAATAATGCAAACATAATTTTTTTTGTTCTAAAATACATTTTAAATACATATTCTTAAAAATATATATATATTCATTGAGACGTTATTAGCATTGATTTTTTTTTTTAAAAAAAAAAAAATCAAGAAATGACTAATAAAGTAAACAAAGAAGTGAGACTCCAGTCGGTAGGAGTAAGAAGACCAAGATTTGGTTAATTTGGTGGCAATTTATTCCGAATATTCTCTCTTCATGCATATACTTAACAAACAAGAATCAAGGCATTAATCAACCAATATATAAAAGAAATTGTATTTGACTACGCTAACATAACCTAAAGTATGTGTCTTTAAGGTTTTTATTTATTTATTTATATGATTTTTTTTCATAGAAAGTACACGTCATTAATTTAACTAATACTTAATACTATAAACTATGGAGTTTATAAGTAATACAACTAGCAACGGAATACATAAGAGAGGGTCCATCTAATTTTATATGTTAAGGGGTCCATTAAATTGTGAACTGTATGTTTGAACTCGGAATCTTCTCCCAAAAGTCACGGAAAATCACTAGATAATTAGACTTACATTGTTACGGTAACGTGTATAAATATACTGCAACATCAACGAACCCATTCAAATCAACTTCCATCGGAGGAAAAAAAAAAAAATCACATTTAAATCAACAAGACTCAACTCTTGGTTGCAATTTCAGAAATAATAAAGGTGTGTTTTATTTCATAGATATATTTCTGTTTTTGCGGTCAATTAATTTCCATTTTGATTTGTCATTTTATGTATGTGTGTATGTATTCGCTAATTAATTATCATCTATTCTTTTGTAGAACTCTACAAATCATCAAGGATAACCAACACTCATAACACTCATACATCGTCAAGATTAAGGTACCTGCATGTACATTCTTTTGTAAGAGATTTTATTTTGTCACTATTTTCGTTCACGTAATTGTATTTAATTTCTTGTTACTAGATATAATTTGAGCCTGAGTCATGACAACTCATTGGAGCCACCCAGAGCACCCCCTTGAGATAGTCGACAGTCCAAAGGTGTACACATGCGACGGGTGTAAAACCAAAGGCATAGGGCAAAGACACAAATGTGAGCGATGCAACTTTAGTTTACACCCTAAATGCATGTTTGCACCCCTTACAACAACAATCCAAGGGTAAAAATGTCATTTTCTTGAAAAACCTCGCCGTGGGGTGCACTGCAAGAAGGTTGATTGCACCAAGTGCCGGAGCTGTGATGCGTGTGGAATGACAATTATGGGCTTCGTCTACCATTGTCCTAAGACTGATTGGGATTTTCATCCTACATGTGTTAATTTGGAGACTGAAATTAAAATAGAGGATGTCACATTTAGGCTTGAGAAGCAAGGATCATCTAGTTGTGCGTGGTGCAAAAGGAAGTTGGTCAAAGGTCAGTTTTCTAACCATACTAGTTGGGTTTTTTTATTAGATTTTTCTTGTAGGAATCTCGTATTTATTTTTATTAATTAAATTAATAGGATAGCAAGTATAATTGGTAAATTACTAATAAATTACAACTACTTTCTCTGTTTCAAAGTACATGTCCTAAGCTAGTCTCTTTTTGTGAATTTGCATTGACTTTTATGTGATTTTATTTCACCAAGCCTCAGCTCTCACATATCTTTTAATTGTGCATGGATTGTAATTATTATAATAATTTAATTTTTTAATGGTAAGAAGAAACACTTTAATGTAGACCTCGATTAATCCTCATAGTTTTTATTTTGGTCCAACATTTACGGGTTGAGGGATTCCACCCTTAAGTAACTTTATTGACAAGATTCGAATCTCAAACCTCTTAATATACTATTAGGTAAGAAGTTTTACTAAGTGATGAGTCAATAATTGTAGTGTTTTGAACTATTAAATGATTTGTGTAAAATCAAAACGTAGCATATAAAATAAACTTGGCCTATTGACTATTGTACATTTGTACACATACATCACTGTCCATAGACCATATATATAGCTCAATCAATTAATTAGTTATTTAGTTTGTTAATTTAATTTTATTTTTAATTACTTAATTGTAGGTGCTGTTAAGAAGATTCCAGGTTGGTCATATGTATCTGAAGAGGATCATGACTACAATTTCCATGTCTATTGTGTGATGGAAATGGCCATGCAAAGTTCTTCTTCTGATGAAGTTTCTGGGAAAACCATGTCTTTTGCATTGCAAGGAAATGAGCTGCCTCTTAAAACAAAGTCCAAGAAAATTTGTAAGAGCAACAAATGGTTGAGAATCCTCAAGATTTTTGTAGGAACTGTTTTCTCCATTCTGCTTGGAGATCCAACTACTATTATTGCCTCAACCATGGCTCATTTGGTTATTGAAGGACTTTTTCACAACACGGGATAATATATTATATATTATCTATCACACTACTTTTAGATTCGAATTATAATTTTTTAAATAGCGTGTGTATTATGTATAGTCTATATTTCTATGAATAATGTATTTTAGGTATGTAATACGATACTTTGTATCTTCTTTTTAATGTATCTTTTTTTTTTTTTTCTCTTATATTATATACTCCATACAATACATATTCCGTATCTCTATACAATTTTTCCAGTGTCAAATGCTTCTTCCTCTTATTAGCATAATTTTCCACATGTACTTTATTTGCCAAAAAAAAAAAAAAAAAAATAACAATTGAAAAGGTACTAAATACCACAATGGAAAAAGTCAACTAGTTATTTATGTTTATCATTATTTTGAGGGTAAATACAACTTGATATTTGAGGTTAACAATATTTGTTTATCACATGATATTTGTGTAAATAAGTCAAGAACTTTTATCAAAGCCCTATAGTAACGATGACGGAATGAAGTTAATGATTTATTTACCAAAATGTCATGTGATAAATAATTTTTGTTTATCACAAATATTAACCTACTAGACTTCCTCTTATTTTGAGTAAACGATTTTTGTTTATCACAAAGATTAACCTACTAGACTTCCTCTTATTTTGAGGGTAATCAAATCAAATCGAAATAGTAAAGAATTGTAGTACGAACCGTAAAGATCGATCCTAAGCCCAAACAGCTAGCCCTCGAACACAAATACTACGGAGTAAAAATATTGGATCATCACATTATCCACCTTATTGACTCCTTATTGCTGAAATTTGTATAAAAAAAAAACAAAAAGCAATTGGATCATCGAGTTGGGGACTATGGTTGGTTCATGCTTGAATTGAATTCAAAGAAGAGAGATTTATTATTATCATCACCAATCTTGAACAAGGGTTCATGAGGTTTAAGTTGGTAGCATAATTTGAAATAGACACGATAAAGTACCTTGCATTTGACTTGGCCTGAAAAGATGTAGTTCTCTTTGATATGTGTCACGTAATTGAAGAAATGGACCGTGGCTCGCTGATTGGTTGCCCAACAAGGGTACGGTAGCTGTGGTGGTCGATTAGAAGATGATAGTTGTATGTTGCTTCTTTGCTTGTAATCATCATCGTGTTATGGTTCCAGCCTAATTTGCAATACCCATATATTGCTTTTAAACTCATGTATTATGGGTTCTTATCATAGACTTGTAAAGTCATATTTTTTGGGTCCG